TCATCATATCAGATGGTAATGTGGACCTAAAATATCCTTGACTGTGCCCGGTCCATCAGCACAATATCAGGCTTATTCGCAAGAATAGTCCTGTCTGTGAGGTTGGCCTCGTTCCAGTAAAGCCTAGCGCTGTCATTTACTCAAAATAAGAGAGTATCCGATCCACAAGACCGTATTTTGGGGCGAGCTCCTGGTATAGGATTCTAGCTACTAGGTTAATGTCAGTGCAATTACTCATAATTAGAAAGCGCCGAACAACCGGTAATAACAGGGTTCTTGTGTTGACGGGCATTCATAACTCTATGCCCTCAGAGTTACTAACCCTACCCGTTTCAAGATGGAGGACGGCACACTTATCCGTCTCCAGAAAGAAAAATCACAAGTTATGTTTTAGCAATTCCATAAGATGGAATTTCTTTCATTATTATTGTTATTGTCGACCAACTGATCTGGCTTGTCCGGAGAATGACCATGCTCTCACAAAATAGCATAAGTGCTTGGTATGATGAGTGTAGAAAACCAGAGACCCTTTTTAATGGCATTTTAGTCCTTAGGGATGACAACATGTACGCCACACGTATGGGCCACAGCCTTTGCGAAATTTGACATTTGATTTTACACTTTGCATTTTAGTACGCATATTTTTCACGGGCAGCACTGGTTTAAACCTGAGACTAATAAGACACAACTCGAGTCTGATGATTTCCAAAATTATCAATACGTAGCAAATCGGCACCTCAAAATTGCAACTAATTTCAGTGTTGCCAGCAGAGACCGAACTTGGATTGCTCGCGCTCAAAATTTAAGGCGAGTGCTCGAGTTTTGACCTACCACAAATCAAGATCACCTATAGGTATTTTTTTTTATGTTACCACATTTTATTTTTTGTTTATCTCAATAATACAAGAGTAAATATTCTTAATAATCTGTATTTTGGTCCCGGGTTCGGATTCCGGGTCTGGACAAAATTATTTATTGAGTGTTTCTGTCAAGAATTTCACAGCAGCAGCCCGTAATCAGAAATCGGGCAATGTTTCAGCCCTGAGCTTGTTGCTCTTTTGTGCTCTTTCCAGTGGTGTGGGACTGGCGCTCTAACGCGCTATGAGTGAGGGAATAGAGAGCGCACCTGTGCTAGCGCATACACTCGGCCATAATCTCATGTTCTGCGCAGATGGCTAGTTTCCAATGAGACTGGTTGCTGTGACCGAAATTCGGTCAGGAAATTACAAGTGTGAAGTACTTTGCTTTTTTTTTTTTTTTTTTTTTATAGGATAGGGTGACAAACGAGCACACGGTCCACCTGATGGTAAGTGGTTGCTGTGGCCCATAGACATCTACATCTATCCTCAATTACGAATCAAAATGCAGATGCGTTGTCACCCGTGAGGACTAAGATGGAATGCCTCGTTTCCAGTAAAAAGGGTCTCCGGTTCTCTGCACTCAGCATACGAAATACAGCAACATTAAGCTACTATTTCACGCTGGTATTCTGTGAGAGCGTGGTCCCTCCCCGGTCGAGCCGACCCATACGTGCTACAACTATACTACTAATATAACTGCAGCATGGCTCTACCACGTAATAATATTATTGGGTTTCATCACGTAGGAAGTGTATAACTGAAATTCTTTGATTAAAATCCAAACTGAAAATAAAAATAAGAATAAAAATTCTTATTTGTGCCGTTAGGATACAAATAAGCAAGCTATGCTTAAAATTAATAAATTTTTAAAAGAATGACCGTTTGTTATTTCGACCTTATTTAAAAAGTACTTTCCTGTCTTCCTTACTTCCCCCTACACGAAATGACGTATACAAGGTTAAAACGTTAGAATTAAAAGGTGCAATGGAGAGATTCCGTATCGTATCCGCAGATTTGACGTTTTTTAGAATACACTATCGACAATGAACACTCTCACGAGCATTAAATAGCAGAACAATGCTGCTGTGTTTCGTATAGTGAGTGTAGAGAACCGGAGACCCTTTTTACTGGAAACGAGGCATTCCATCTTAGTTCTAAAGGGTAACAATGATATGATGGCCATTCACCTAAGTAAGTAAATGCTGAGGCCCATAGCCACACCCACACCTATCCCCGATTAGGAATCACAATGCACAATATCCAATGTCCCCTACCTCCCCCTTCTTGCCTTGAATCCTTTGTTACCAATTAAAAGTCTATTTCTCGTCTCTAACCATATGCTCCTCCTCCAATTCCTGTTCTCTTGGCTTCGGTTCTCTACACCTACCTTACGATAGTGTTTTATGCGCTAGCATTTCTAGCAATATCCTGCTGGTAACGAAGCCCTCGATCTAGGCAAAGGCGTAATAAAGAGAATTTTTAACCACTTCTTTTTTGTGCACTTTTTAATACAAATTATTATAGTTTTTTTGTGATAGCTATGGGTAAAACGCCTGCCGTATATGCAGCTGGCGCTAATAAAATGTGCTAATTTAGATTTTAAACGATGTTTTACGTGCTTCTTGGTTTTAACCATCGCGAGGTAACCTGTATGTTTGAGGAATAAAAATATTTCAAAAACATGTGAAACCGTCAACACGCATTAGAACAAAAAAATTTGTTCCTCAACCTTGTGAGAAATGGTGTTTGAGCTTTTGTGTGTTTGAGAGTCTTGTCAGAAATGGTCGAAGCGATTTTGTAGTAAGGAAAGTTTATATTATGCCGTATTATTTATGTTTATTTTTATTTCCTTTAACAAAGTTGCGAATTAAAAATAATCAATTTTAGGTAGACATTAATTAGAAGATCAAATTTTATAAAAATTACCTTCGTACAGCCCGTAAGTTCATTGTTGGACATGGTATTTTTTACTTGCATTAATGAGGGCAAGTTATCTCTGCTCACCAGGTGTCGCTATTTGGAACTATACTTATATATTCATCATGCTGCGATTTAATTATCCTTTTTTCTCTGGCACAAAATGCCGTAGTGCTGTATTTTTTATTCCTTTACACATTTCTGACTTGTTTTGAATTCTTTAGTACTTTATATATTCATCATTGAAAAGCTGCGATTTAATTATCCTTTTTTCTCTGGCACAAAATGCCGTAGTGCTGTATTTTTTTACGCATTTTTAACTTGTTTAGAATTCTCTCAATTTTAGGAATATGCTTAGCATGGCTTATCCTTTTCTAATCAAAAAATTACACTTTTATAACATATTAACTTTCACCGCTATGGTATCTGTTAAATATTTCACCTCTTGTAAGTGGCGCCACTTACAAGAGGTGAAATATAGGTAGCAGAAAAATTCTTGAATACCCTCATTGTCATGCTTGGCACTGCTTGACGCTCGTAGTACCAGACGTCTCGAATTTCTCGAATTTGACGTTCGCTCATCGCCGGTCTGGATATTTTAAGCCTGGCGTAAAATGATGATTATACTGTCATCTATTGAAAGCTTTGAGATCTGGAGTGATAGATTCACGCCGCCGCGTGCTCGCGCATGCAGTATCGTCTTTACTATAAGGGCACTCGGGGCCCGTGCCCATATCATCACGGGAGGCCCCGTGACGAAAGGCATCGGCCTTTTTCGCTTAAGCTGTACAATCTTTTTTCTATTTTAGGAAAATATAACCCGACACAATTATTTATAGAGTAAATGATGTCTTTAGTGACTTTCTGGCAAACCTGAGCAGTGACAAGCCACACATTGCAGGAAAAAGTGGCATTGTCAGATTTCCTAAGTAGAAAAAATGTAGTTCCGCGTTTCGTCGCCATCTAAACGTTTTTGCCGGACTATACCGTCGCCTTACTTATAGCCTGGATTTTTTTTTAATTTTCGGCAATCTATGTATTTATAATCTATACAATAAAAATATCATTACGTACTGTAATAAAAATAACGCTTTTTAATTTTCCTAAGAAATTATCGTCATCGCTATAAAATCTGTCAAATATTGTAAAGTAACGCCGCCCTCGTGGCAGAAAAAATAAAGTGGATGCCCTCATTAATGACATATTGTTTGATTTTTACCAATTAACTATCATAAATAAAAGATCATAGCAGAAAAATGCTTTTATCATTAACTTTTTTTTACTTTCTAACAGGGCCCCAAATTCTTGTGTGCCCAAGGGCCCTGGTGTGGCCTAAGACGGCTTTGCGCGCACGGCAATATTGTACAGTCCTTTTACTTATTATTATATTACTATTTACTTATTATATATATATACATCGAACACAGATCTCGGACATACCACATTCTTTCCAACCCCTCCACGAATATATTATTTCAGCCTTCACCATCTTTTCCCTATTCCCTCTTCCTTACGTCTAACTTAACTGATGGCGGTATAACCACATCCGAAAAGCTGATTCCAAATACGAAAGCTAGGTTAGGAGCAGCAGCATTATCCACGTCACCAATATTTAGTCCATTATAAGTCATCAACGATTCCTTGCACGTATCATCAGATTGTCATTCAGCAACGTTAGCAGTGTAATCAAGTTGAGAGATCAAGTTTTAACCAATTTATTCTACAGATAAATATTGCTAGGCAGTGTACCTTATAAGTATTAAGGACAAATCTTGAATGCCTTTGACATAGAATTACATTCTCTTTGGTGGTAATATTTTTTTTATATAGTATAGGGTGACAAACGAGCTCACAGTCCACCTGATAGTAAGTGGTTGCTGTGGGCCATAGACATCCACATCCTACCTATCCTCGATTACGAATCAAAATGCAGATGCGTTGTCACCCGTGAGAACTTAGATGAAATGCCTCGTTTCCAGTAAAAAGGGTATCCGGTTCTCTACACTCACCATACGAAACACAGCAGCATTAAGCTACTATTTTGCGCTGGTATTCTATGAAAGCGTGGTCCTTTCCCAGTCGAGCCGACCCATTCGTGCTACAACTATACTAATATACCTGCAGCATGGCTCTACCACGTATACTAATGTTTTCATAATAATATTAATTTAGTAATGTTTTCATTTCTAAAACTCATCTAATCTATGGTTTTTCTTTTTTCAGCTCACCGAAATTCTAAACAGCCAGTACATGAATGGTTTTTACGTTGACAACATAGACCGAGACTACCGAATCGTCGTTTGGCAATGATGTCGAGTATCGCGTCGTTAGAAATGAACTTTATGTTAAATAATGAAATCTTCGCATGTAAATTAAAATTTCAGTAGCTCTTAGATATAAATAGACGCATTAAAAGTTCATAAACTAGTAACTAGATACGTACATAACTATTGTGTTCTGTAACCGTATAATGCAGTTTTTGTACAGAGTTAGTTTTCTTATTTTAAATAGTATATTAATATTTTTATTAAGATAATAAGGAAGAGTAATATCACAATGACAGTATTTTCGAAATTATTATCAAAAAGGAATATCAACACATTAATCGTATTAATTTAATTCTATTAATATATAATATTGTAAAGAAAAATGTGATGTTAAAATAAAGTAATTGGTTTTAAGTAATAACATTAGTGTTGTGTTCTTATATCTTTTAGTATATGTATAAGTACTTTTAGTATAAGTAGATGAATAAGTTATATTTTTGTAAAACGAAAACTAATATTTAAAATTAATTAATTTATAATTTAGGTTTAGGTGGTACTTACAATTAATAAAATTGGCGGAGTATTAATTTAGGAGCAGAGAAATATTTATAACTCTATGACAGTTCTAAAACACTTTAATTTTTAATTGATGGAATGCAGACACTATAAATTATTTTATTTTATCAAATTTTATATTTTTTGTTGACCGTATTTTTGATTGTACATGTTTTTTGAAAATATCGAACAACAATTATTTTATTCAATATTTTAATACCTAAAGCCTGCTACAATTGTACGTACTAACTGTTTGAATTCTGAATATGGACGACTTTCCTTCCTAAAACTTCCTAACAATGTTTTTCCTAAAAAACTGTTTTACTTACTATTTCTTAGCTTATATATTTAATATCGTATCATGGTGTGCCAATTTAATGTAGAGTAATGCTATTTTGTCTTAATACAATTATTTTGTGCCTTCACGTTATTGCATTCTCGTTCTCATACGCGGGTACCCATTTTAACAGTAGGCTTAGTTCAATTTTATCTACGTATACTGTGCCTTGTCATAAACATTATACCGTATTGGTATCGGATTTTGACAAGATATGTGAGACATTTTTATACATATCGGAAGAAAATTAACACTGTTATTAAGGCAGGAACCAGGTTAACTAATTAAAAATTAAAAAAAGATAAAAATTCCGTAATCCTGACGAATCTAAATATATGGTAACCCCAATTGTAATGCAACACTAGTAGAAATTGTGTAATAAATGTGAAAGCACCGTACAAAATGGCCTGTCTGCCATGATATGAATGACATCCGATAGGACAATTTCTTGCCAGGGCAATTTAGCTTTTAGTTTGAATTTTATAAAAATGTCATGAATATGGCTAGATCATTTTAAGAAAATGAGCTATCAGTGAGAAAAGCATGGCATAGTATATTGTAATAGATTTATGTATAATTAACAATAAAGGAATTATTAATAATAAGTGTTTTTTTTTTAAGATAAAGATACATTTATTGCATAACTGTGTACAATATGATCTTAGTACAAAAACATATAGTTTTAGGCTCAACAGTTTACCCATTTCGGATATGCAACAATTAAAAAAATAAATTTTAAATATACTACTGACTAACATTAATTGTATTAAAAAACTCATTGAGATTGTAAAAACCATTTTCAATTAACAATTTCTTTAATTTTGTTTTGAACATATTTCCATTTAATTGTTTAATAGCTGGTGGTAACTGATTGTATACACGAATAGCAGTAATGTAGGTACTTTTATAGTAAATCATATTTTTAATAAGAGGTAAGCTTATATCATATTTATATTGATTGCGAATGTTTTTCTTTGAATCAGATTTGAAATTAAAATTGGTTGCGCGGAAAACCATTCGCGTTTTTTTATTTTTGACGGTAGGAACTTGTCGAATCATTATTCCCTTCCGAAACAATATCATTCGTACCCTCCTATCGACACATCGGGGTGGTGGGGTGGGAGGGGAAAGAAGACGATTCTAGAACATCGCGTAATCATCGGACCCGAGGATATATAAGACACGCGCGACCGACGCGCGCTCTCTTCTCCCGCCGCAGTCGTCATTGAACTACAACCTCCTCTTCCCGCGCGCTCGTTTGGAAACACCTCACTAGTGGAAACCGCTTTGGCCTGGAAGCAGTCGAGCTCCAGGAACCCGCCTCACCTCGTGTGAGATATCGTCGCGCACCGCCTCTCTCCGGAGTGTTCCGGAAGTCGCCGCTATAGTGATCGACAGGAAGAAGAAACCCCGGTGAGTCAATACTCCTTAATTATACCTGCTTGCTAATAATTTAACCCGCTCCAATCTGTGTTTTTTTTCCTAGTCAAGCAGGATTCCTTTCATCGATTCGACAAGTAATAGTTTAGTTTAGGGAAGAGCGAGTGCATTGTACCGCATGCTATGGTAGTCGCTTTTAACGTAAGCGTAGAAGCAATCGCATATACAGTCCACTTTAGTTAATATCTCGCGTAATAGGTTTGAGGTTTGACCGGGGAACTAGATTTTCGGCAGCCTTAAACACGTGGCTCCACCATTTTATGGTCACTTCGGCAGGATCTGGATTGGTGTTTAGTGGTTATCCAACCATTTTCTGGTCGAATTATTAAATTAATTGTTTAGATAACGCACTCTAACTTATGGAATAGACTTAAATAGTGTTCGTTTAAATTAAAATTTTGATTTGTTACTCGCAAACAGAATTATTCATTTAATAGCGCTCGTATTTGGTTAAATTTAAAGCTTATTAAATAATTGAAACGGCGTGATAGCAACCGTTTGATACGCTTACCCCACAATTTTATAAAATTATTAGGTTTAGCAAACGACGCGTAGCCTTGACTGCATCGGGCGCTCGATCTGATTACGTAATACAGCACGCCGAGTATTCATCCTACGTCGTTTATGCGTGTGAGATTAATTGTGATTAATATAACTTTATTACAATAATTTAAAATGGCAGTTAGTGGAAGTGAAATCAAAATTAAAACGCTTTATGCCAAGAGGGACATACTCTTTTCGCGTGTGCAAAATATAAGTGATTATATAAAGAACATTCATATAGAGGCAGTACGGGAGGCCTTTTTAAATGAAATCGAAACGATAGATAATTTGCGGACAGATTACGAAAGAATATTAGACCAAATTAATCATTCGGAACTACAAACCGACCCGAAATACATAGTGAACTACCAACCGCTGCTGGCATTCGAAGATATGTTGTGTCGCGTGAAGAGAACCGCAAAATTGCTACAATCTCAAGGTGAAGCGAAGCCTGAAATGCAGGTACGCCCTCGTGACTCAATTAGGTTACCGCCAATAGATATTCCGGTATTCAATGGTGATATTAAGACGTGGCCCTTCTTCTTCAGTAGTTTTCAAAACAATATACACAACAACCCATCGTTATCGGACGCTGAAAAATTATATTACTTAATTAGCAAACTTAGTGGCAGAGCACAGTCGATCTGCTCGGGTTTTACACCTACAGCAAACAATTACGTATTAATATTTGAAACGCTTAAAACTAAATATGAAGATAGGAGAATGTTAGCTTCCGAATATTTGAACCAGATATTCGAACCTATATCATCCGCGAACATCAACGGCTTAGAGCAGTTTCTCGATAAATTTGTGGCATCGGTGGCTGCACTTAAGAATTTGAAGTTTGATGACCTTATGGACGTGGTGTTTCTCCATATAGCATTAAAGAAATTAGACTCCGACACCGTGCGTGCGTTTGAAATGGAGCATCGTAGCTCGGAGATGCCTTCCTTTCATTCATTAGCATCGTTCGTGCGAGATCAAATAAAGGTGATGCAGCGCTCACCGAACGTTAAACAGGAGATTAAAAGGTGCGCCGACCGTAGACAGACTCAACCATCTAAAATAGCAGGGTCGTTAACTTACGTAACCGCTACGCCGACATCACTCCAGCATACTTGTATAGTATGTAAAGATAAACACGGTAACTTATATAACTGTGCGACTTTTCGTAAATATTCACCAAGCGAACGTTATAAGTTAGTAAAGACAAACAACCTATGTTTGAACTGCTTAAGCGATAAGCATTTAGTTGCAAAATGCAATTCGAGTTCCGTATGTAGCAAGTGCGCCAGGAAACATCACACGCTATTACATTTTGAAAATAGCAACATAGCGGCGTCAAGTAAGGCGAATAAGGAATTCACCCCTACTAAGGTCAACGATTCTAGCGGTCGACCTGATGATGTCGCTCTGTGCTCATTGGCAAATATGGGAGCACAACCTCCTTCAACCGTGTTACTGGGTACGGCGCGTATTTTGGTTAGGGATTCGCGTGGAAACAAACAAAGCGTCCGTGCACTGCTGGACAGCGGAGCCCAAAATAGCTTTATAACACGACAATGTTGTCAGCGCTTAGGCTTAGTAATAAATAGGTCACTTTCATGTCCTGTAGTTAAAGGCATCGGAGGTACTAGTAAAGCGACACAGGGATATATAAATTTAAAATTTTATTCTCGGATAGATCGTAACGTTAACTTTGATATAAATGCACTAGTAGTAGATAGGGTCACTGAACGGTTGCCAACCGTTTCGGTTGACACCTCGGCAATGATTGAATTTAAAAATTTGACTCTAGCAGACGACACTTACGCCGTTCCTGGAAACATAGACATGCTCATTGGGGCATCGCTTTTCCCTCATCTTTTGTTAAACAATAAGGTCAGGGGCAACTCCTCGCATACCGCGCCTTACGCACTGGAAACCGTATTGGGCTATGTGATCCTCCCCCCCCTCCAGATTTCGGCAGCCTCTTATTGTGGTATGGCTGTCGAACCGCTCGAGTCGTTAGTCCGCAAATTTTGGGAGATGGAGGAGGTGAACGTCCCACCCATAGCTAGTTCAGCTGACAGGATATGCGAGGAAATTTACGTCCGCACGACCGTTCGTGATCGCGACGGTAGATATAGTGTAGCGCTACCCTTTAAGGGAGATGTTTTATCTCTCGG